GATTTAATCAATCAAATCGACAACAATCAACACCTCATTAGATCTCTTATTGATATTATCTGCGAGAATATGAAACAAATACGTGAAATAGAAGTGACAGAAATTAATTTAACTAATAATATATTAGCCAAAGAAGTGCAACAGTTTATAAGCAATTTCAATGTAATGCCCATTGATATCAATTACAGTATATTTGTTAAGGCAATCAATGGTGTGACAGAAGATTATATTCTTTGCCAATAACTTACCCTAAAACCTTTACGTTACCGTAACTTTAGTTTGGTAAACTAACACAAAGCTCTAAGTTAACTTAATACCCTTTGTCTAAACTGCCGTAAACATGTTCTTAACATACTTTCCATACAAACCAATGGATTCTTATTATCTGTATTTCGGTATAAGTTTACGGAACCGGAGATATCAATCATGTCTTTGAATGAAAATTTGGAAATCAATTGCAATAATAAGTCATTTGAAAAGCGAATCAACGATTTTATAAACACTGCAAATTCTATGGGATTTCGTTTAATAAGTAGTAAATGCGATACAATTGCTACGAAAGCCCTATTGTTCAGAAAAATAACACCAATTGTCAAAATTCCGGAAAATGACGAAATAATTACAATAAATACTGATTACAAACAATGGTTTGATTTATTAAAGGAAAAAGTTATTGAATGTTGTGATAATAATTTGTATGATAGGCGTATATGGCTTGTGGCCAATGACTCGCATATTAACGGAATCATAGGTTTAATGAATTGTTTGCGATTAGAACCGGGCGGACACAACTTGCGCTATATCTTCCATATGGACACCAATACTGACACTAACTTTGACTTCAATACTAAACCCTATTCTGATATATTGGTCAACGATTTGGTCGCTAATGTTATTAAAGGAGGAAAACTGGGAACTTATAGACATTTAAAACTTCCCAACGGTTACGACAAATGCTTATCAAATAATTATTACCTAAATTTGGAATCAAATCGTGATTTGGTTGGACTTCAATGGTTTGATTCTCAATGTATTCCTGATGTGAAAGAAAAATATTTAATGAATAATATAAAAACATCCCTAACTAAAATTTATGTTTATTACTCTGGCCTAACTGACAAGGATATCATATATGCAACCGGTAATATAACATAACACTTTTAGAATTAAATTAATATTTCTTATTTTTATATCATATTGATATCATATCAATATCTTAAGTTTACATTTGAATCAATATTTACCAAGGTCACATTCCAATGGGACCTGAAAAGTTATACCCCGATTGTTTATTGGGGTTTGAATATGTGGGCCGTAGAGCTGACACCGGGGAACGAGTGATGGGTTTAGAGTTCGGGCGCATGTTTTGCAACTCAGTTAACGTAATCGATGAGTACATGTCTTCTATTCCGGAGCACTGGGCAATGGCAGAGGCGGTGACTGTGTTGAGCACATATAGTACAGTACACTACGGGCTTATCAAAAGGGCTCATCTTAGAAAAGGTATCATTTCAATTATCAAACATATTTTATATCATTTAATAGCAACTATTATTACAATATAAATATTATTATTATTAGGCGAAAATGTTTTAATTCATTCAGGAGCCGGAGGTGTGGGTCAGGCGGCTATCAATGTATGCAAACACTATGAATGCGATATCTATGCGACGGTAGAGACAGATAGAAAAAAACAATTTTTAATTAATAAACACAATATTCCGGAGAACCGGATATTCATCTCAACTGATGTGCACTTTAATGACGAGATAATGGATGCGACGGACGGACAGGGAGTGGATGTTGTTTTCAATTCACTGATGGGTGAGAAACTGAGCACAGGTTTTGAGTGTCTGGCGATTAGCGGCCGATTCGTACAAATAGGAAGATATGATACGATTGACGGAAAACAGTTGCCAATCAATGACTCCATTCGTGACATACAATTCACCACAATTTTTATGGATTACGTTATAATGAATGACATAAATTCCGGAAAATGACGAAATAATTACAATAAATACTGATTACAAACAATGGTTTGATTTATTAAAGGAAAAAGTTATTGAAAGTTGTGATAATAATGCAAATGATAGGCGTATATGGCTTGTGGCCAATGACTCGCATATTAACGGAATCATAGGTTTAATGAATTGTTTGCGATTAGAAGCGGGCGGAGAGAACTTGCGCTATATCTTCCATATGGACACCAATACTGGCACTAACTTTGACTTCAATACTAAACCCTATTCTGATATATTGGTCAACGATTTGGTCGCTAATGTTATTAAAGGAGGAAAAGTGGGAACTTATAGACATTTAAAACTTCCCAACGGTTACGACAAATGCTTATCAAATGATTATTACCTTAATTTGGAATCAAATCGTGATTTGGTTGGACTTCAATGGTTTGATTCCCAATGTATTCCTGATGTGAAAGAAAAATATTTAATGAATAATATAAAAACATCCCAAACTAAAGTTCATGTTTATTACTCTGGCCTAACCGACAAGGATATCATATATGCAACCGGTAATATAACATAACAGTTTTAGAATTGAATTAATAATTCTCATTTTTATATCATATCTAAAGTTTACATTTGAATCAATATTTACCTAGGTCACATTCCAATGGGACCAGAAAAGATATACCCCGATTGTTTATTGGGGTTTGAATATGTGGGCCGTAGGGCTGACACCGGGGAACGAGTGATGGGTTTAGAGTTCGGGCGCATGTTTTGCAACTCAGTTAACGTAATCGATGAGTACATGTCTTCTATTCCGGAGCACTGGTCAATGGCAGAGGCGGTGACTGTGTTGAGCACATATAGTACAGTACACTACGGGCTTATCAAAAGGGCTAATCTTAGAAAAGGTATCATTTCAATTATCAAACATATTTTATATCATTTAATAGCAACTATTATTACAATATAAATATTATTATTATTAGGCGAAAGTGTTTTAATTCATTCGGGAGCCGGAGGTGTGGGTCAGGCGGCTATCAATGTATGCAAACACTATGAATGCGATATCTATGCGACGGTAGAGACAGAAAGAAAGAAACAATTTTTAATTAATACACACAATATTCCGGAGAATCGGATATTCATCTCAACTGATGTTCACTTTAATGACGAGATAATGGATGCAACGGACGGACAGGGAGTGGATGTTGTTTTCAATTCACTGATGGGTGAGAAACTGAGCACAAGTTTTGAGTGTCTGGCGATTAGCGGCCGATTCGTACAAATAGGAAGATATGATACGATTGATGAAAAACAGTTGCCAATCAATGACTCCATTCGTGACATACAATTCACCACAATTTTTATGGATTTCGTTATAATGAATGACAGCCACTATTTGGACGAGTTTTATGATTGGATGCATAAGAACTCAACGAATAATTGTATAAAACCATTAAATTATACGGTGTTTGAGGCCAAGGATGCGGACAAAGCGTTTCGTTATATGACAAGCGGTGAACACATCGGGAAAATTGTTGTGAAGATGAGGGACGAGGAAAGTGAAAGGACTGCCATTACATTCATTAGACCGGTTCCCGAACTTTTGGTTTCCGTCAAAACTTATTTCAATCCAAACAAAGTCTATATAATAACCGGAGGTTTGGGTGGTTTTGGTCTGGAATTGATTTCATGGATGCAATCCTTAGGCGCCCGAAAATTTGTGATTACTTCCAGGTCTGGCCTTAAGACAGATTATCAGAAGTTTATTGTAAATCGTTTTATGAAGAAATATAAGAAATATTTTATGTCTAATTTGATTGTCTCGACGGCCAATGGATTGACAATTGAAGGCACAAAACAACTGTTAAATGAGGCCAAAGAGTTGGCACCCATTGGGGGAGTATTTCATTTGGCGCTTGAATTAAACGATTCTTTGTTTAAAAACATAACGTTTGAAAAGTTCTGTTCGACTGTCGATACAAAACACAAGATCTTTGCAAACTTGGATCAAATGAGTCGTCTATTGGACTATAAATTAGATTATTTTGTAGTGTTTTCGTCGATATCTTGTGGTAAAGGAAACGCCGGGCAATCAAACTATGGTTTCGGTAACTCTTTATGCGAACGCATTTGCGAAGAGAGACGAAGAGATGGATTGCATGGACTGGCCGTACAGTACGGACCCGTCGGTGATGTCGGAGTGTTTGAAAGTTCATCCAATGAGACACCGTTTGCGTCCACTCTTGGAAAACAACGAATCCTTTTGTGTTGCGATGTTTTGGACAAATTGCTAGCAATTAAACAACCGATTGTCACGTCATATATAACACAAGTATTAAACACTAAATGCATTATTATTTACGTATAATTAAAGATAAAAATATTTGCATTTAATTAAAGGACAATTCAAACGAAACGAAACAAACGGATGGAAAACAGAAGCGAATAATCGTTGAGTTGTGGAGAACTTTAGGCATTGATCCCAATTCCACACCAAATGACACCACTTTAGGCGATATCGGAATCGATTCAATGTTTGCGACAGAATTAAGGCATGAATTGAATCGTGATTACCATGTTCAATTAACACTAACACAGTTAAAGGCTATTACAGTTGGTATGCTTAAGAATTACCAGATTGGGTTAAATGACATTTTTCACCCATACATACAAGTGTTGGCTAATAAATAAGCATTAGATCGTAATTACTAACTACACAATCACTAACTCATTGTCGCGCCAACTCATTGCCTCTGTATTAACTGTACTGTACGTAATGTTTGGCAGAGGCGGCAGTCAATGAGTTAGTGCGACAATGAGTTACTGATTGTGTAGTAAATGATTGATATTTAGAGTTAAAATAACGTCCATACGTTTGTTTGTTATTATTTAACAGCTATCACATTTTAATAATATTAATTTTAAAATACATATATGTAAGGTTCATCGTTTACCTCCCATATCTTATATCTTCCCGGAAAATAAGGAATCTTCCTTACTTTCCACATCTTCCTGAAAAATGAGAAAATAAGACATAAATTGTGGTCAATTGATGATCAATCAAAATATATGTATAACTTTTATTAGTCTAAAACATAGACTTTAACATGCTTAAGCATCGTATAATTAAATCAATTGTTCAAACCTATTCATGAATTTAATATAATTTAATTGAGAATTTATATTTTCCCAAAAAGTATTTCAATGGTATTCAATGGCAATGATAT